AGTCTGTAGGACCCCAGATCCGCAAGCTGGGCGTCAGTCTCCCAGCTACACCTACACACAGACACAGAGCCCAGCTGGTGACCACCCCTCCCACCCCAGTGGCTGCAGCTAGACTCCCTGGTGGGCCCAGACCTTGGCTTCTTGCCTGTGAGGACTTGATTCCAAGCTGTTTTCCAGCCCGCAGGAAGCAGGAGCCTATGTGTTTTCTCAGGTGCATGGAGGTGCTTCCCCTGCATCTTTTCCTTCCCAACAAGGAAAGGCATTCCAGCAGGGAGAAATCCTTCCCCAGCAAGTGGTTTCCTGGGGAGGGGACGGTCCAGGAAGGCAGGTTTGCTCCTGGACAATACCCTCTGGGATAATAGGAAGCGGGGCCCAGCGAGCTCCCCAGGATCCCAGGGAAGTGCGGCTGGGAGGCCAGAGTGTTTGTTGTTGGCAAGGAGAGGAACAAGGGTGAGCAGGTGGGAACACACAAACAGAGGAAGTCCGTGATGAAAAGAAATGACGGGACATGTACCTAGACCCACAGGGTGAGAAGGCCCCTGAGTCTTGGGACAAGAACAGGAAGTTAGTCCTTAGGACCTCGGCCATCAAGGCACGACGTACAGAAGAGGGAGGCAGGAGCCATCCTGCCTACGTGGCATTCTGACCACCATTTCCTTGGCGAGAAAGAGGTGCCTCTGTGTCAGCAGGAAACAGATGCTGTAGAGGTGTGACTAACAGGAGGGGGAAGTGTGCTTTGTAAACTGTAAAATTCTGTACACGTGTTTGTTCGCTGCCAGAGCGTTAGCCTTAGAAATTGTAACAAGTGGCAAAGCAGGTGACGGCATTGTGACAATGAAATAGGAGAGCCGGTGTTGGTCTGTAGAGTTAGAATTGTTGACTACGGGCGCAGGGTAGGGGGTGGGGTGGCAGGATGTGGATTCTTGGAACAAAACTGAGCTGAACCTCCTATAATGTGTCAGAAACAAGCTGCGAGGGCATTAGCTGCCTCGGGGCTCGTTCAGATTCCCTAGAGGCCACGCACACTCCCAGGGGAGGGCCCTGGGCAGGCAAGCGCCTTCATCAGATGGGAAACACCTGTTTTATTCATTTTTCTATTCAAGCAACCAGTGTTTATTGGATACCTATTATGTGCCAGGTCCTGTGATTAAAAAGTGTGATTACAACTGTAGTAAACACTATAAAAGAGATATACACAGTACTATAAGGGCCTATAATCAGGATATATAAGATATATAATCAGCTGTATACGGGTCTATAATCAGGATAACTGAATGGATCTTGTAAAACCAAGGAAGTGTTGATAATTAAGTTGAGATCCAAAGAATGAGTAGACATTAACTAGGTAGAGGGGAATAAGAAAAGCAGTGTAAGGAACAGTCTGTGCAAAGACCCTGCAATGGAATAGAGAATGGCACATGTATCAGTTAGCTTTCGCTGTGTAACAAGTCACTCCAAAATTTAATGATTTAAAACAGCATCCGTTTTTTTAACCCACAATGTTGTGGGTCAGAAATTTGGCTGGGCTCAGCCAGGTGACGGCAGCCATCTGTGCTAGACTGTGGCTCATCTTAGATGGGACTCACTCACGCATCTTCATCAGTTGCCAAGTCAATGAGAAACTGACTAACCACCGGCTGGGGCTCCTTGGTCCTTCACCTAGTGGTCTTTTCTTTTCCAGCAAGCTAGCTTGGGCTTCCTTCACACGGCAGGTGAAGGCTTCCAAGAGGCAACAGGAAAGGACAAGCTCCAAAGCTCAAGCACTTTTCATATCTCCGCATTTGCCACTGTCCCACTGAGCAGAGCAAGGCACATGGCTAAGCCCAGAGTCAGCGTGGGAGGACACTACCCAACGCTGTGGTTACAGGACGGCGTGAACAAACTGAGGACTGTAAATGGAGCAATCTACCATGGAGTGTTCACGGAATTGCCAGAAAACAAGAGGACTAGGAGTGAAGAGTGGAGGAAACCACGGCACAGGATGAAGCTACAGATGACAGGGCCCAGGTCACGAAGGACCCTAAAGAGCACTGGGAGAGGTTGGTCTTTGTCCTAAAAGCAGGCAAGCCCTCTGGTCTCTGATTCTGTCTTGTGGGTTCAGTCATCAAACATATCAATAGATCTCTTGACAGCTGAGCTGCCCCTGGTGAGCTGCGAGCCTCCTGAGCTTGAGTTGCTGGGCACAGGCTCCGGTGCGTGGTCTGCCCAACGCCCCTGCCCGCAGCCTGCACAGCGGTCAATGCCCAGGCTTCTCCTCGGCTGGGAACAATCTTCTCACCCTTCTCCACAGGGCCAGTTCCTCCCTCCCCGAGGCTCAGAGCCAGCACTACCACCTTAGAGACGCCCTCCCTGACTTCTCTAAGCCCCAGGACCAGGGACACATAGAACAAGACCATGAGGCCTAGAGAACATGCCTGTGGGCTCATTATGGTGGCCTTGGGCTTTCCAAGACCAAGTTGGCATGGGATCCAGCGCTGCTGTGTGGCACAAAAGCTGTGTGTGGGCACAGCGCTTCACCCATGCCATACCCATCTTTTCATCTGTTTGCTCCCACCGGACTGTGTTTCCTGAAGGAGCGCCCATTACCCCATGTCCGCACATACTTGAATGAATAAATGAATGATGGGTGATTCCATCACTAAACAGGGCTTTCCTCTGAAAGCCCAGCCAGCGTTATGAAAGTCTTCTGTCACAGCGGTTGAGGGGACGGGTTCTTTCCAACTAGGTCAGGATCTCTGGTGTCTCCCAGTTCCAGTATGAAGCCACCCTCCCAGAGGAGAGAAGCCTCTGGCCTGGGGACAATCCAAGGCAGGGCAGTCAGAGTGAAGAGAAAGGGGCTCCTCAGGAGACAGTGCCACAATGTCATTTGCTGTAGCAGGGAAAGGATCAGCCAGCTGTGGCCTCTGTAGGAGCAGGCCTTCTCTGAGTGCTGGAGCAGCCGGCCAGGGGTGCTGAGTGACGCCCACCTGGGCACTGACGCCATGAAGCCAACTGGTTGGTTGACTTCCTCACCACAGGCTGGAGAAGCAGCTCCTACGAACCGGGGGCAAGAAGAGCCCCAGGCACGGCCCAGTGGTCCTGACAGAGACATTTCCAATCGACGTCCTACTCTTGAAGAATGACAGTCCAAATCATACTATCTCCCTTTTGCAGAAGAGAAACCTGAATCTCAGGGAGCATATCAGCCACCTTAACAGTCATGGCCACTCAGATAAAAGACTACATTTCCCAGCGTCCCTTGCAGGTCAATGTGGTCACGTGACCAGGTTCTGGCCAATGAGACATGAGTCACAGTAACTCATGTCTATAACTTTGGGATTGGGCTCACATGTGGTGAAGGTGTGCTTCCACTGCCTGGCAAGCCATCTTGGAGCATATAGCCAAGGGCAACACCTTAGAATGATGGAGCAGCAACAGCACAGGAAGAGTCAGGGCCCCTGATCTCTGGGCATACAACGTAGGAGCCACCATTCCAGACCTGAACAGCTTTTGCCTGTGAGAGTTGAGTGAGATTTAAAGAAATCGTCTATCTTACCACATCATACCTATTAGGGTGGCTAATTTCAAAAAATAAACAAATGAGAAAAAAGGAAGAAAACAACAAGTATTGGTAAGGATGTGGAAAAATGAAAACCCTTGTGCACTGTTGGTGGGAAAGTAAAATTGTATAGCCACTGTGGAAAATAGGATGGCAGTTCCTCAGATAATTAAAGATGGAATTGCCGTATGATCCAGCAATTCCACTTCTAGGTGTACACTCAAAGAATTGAAAGTAGGTCTCAAGAGATATGTATAGACCCAGGTTCACAGCAACATCATTCTCAATAGCTGAAATATGGAACCCAAGCGTCCATCGAGCAATAATTGGATAAGCAAAATGTGGTCTATCGATACAATGGAATACTATTAAAAAGGAAAGAAGTTCTGACACATGCTACAACATGGATGAGCCTTGGAGACATCACACTAAGTAAAATAAGCCAGTCGTAAAAGGAAAATATTGTATGATTCTACTTATACAAGGATCCTAGAGTAGTCAAATTCATAGAGACAGAAAGTAGAATGGTGGTTTCCAGGGGCTGAGGGAGAATAAGGCATAGGGAATTATTGTTTATTGGGTACAGAGTTTTACAAAATGAAAAGAAGTATGGAGATGGATGGTGGTATGTGACATTACCAATGTATTCAATGAAATATGCAATTAAAAATGGTTAGCTGGTAAATTTCATTATTATGTGTCTTTTATCAGAATAAAAACTAATCCTAAAAAAAGAAAATAGCCTATCTTGATTAAGCTACTGCTAAAGCATTTATATAGCTGCCGAATCTACATCTCCTAACTCATATAAAATAGCCCAGGACTGAGTTCCTCAGGAAGCCCTTCTTCTAACTGGCCAGGACCACATGGGCTGCCTAATCACCAGGCAATCCACTGTCCCAGGACAACAAAGCTGTGACCAGCTATTTCCTTGGACTAAGAGCTGGAGAAGTTGCCCGGAGGAACTCACTAGATTGCCAAGGTAAGTAAGCACAGCAGATATTCTGCCAGCATAGACACCAATAAACCTATGCCTGTTGTTAAAATAGTAAAATACTTCCAGGCCACTTGATAAAACAGCCAATGCCTGGAGTCACCCCACCCCTTGAGTGTTCCCCCTCCCCCATCCTGGCCACACTTGCACCAGCTAAAGGAGTAACATCTGGCACACGAAGGGGTCCCAGGATCTCATCCTTAGCCCCAGCCATCTGACTCGGCAAACCGTACCACTTGTTAAAGACGTTGAGCATCACCCCTAGCTGAGGAACCTGGTCTCGGCTGACTGAAGGGAAATGAAACCCTGAACTCACTGCTGAAGGCGACCAGCGTTCTGGAAGGCAGACTTGCCATTTCATTCCCACCTCCCCCGCCTCCTCGCCCCCCTCCCCAGAGCCAGGCGCACCCAGCCCCCACTGAGCCCTGCGCTCGCCCATCCAGAATGTCCCACAAACACACCCAGAGGTTATTGCACTCTTTTATTTACAGAAAACACAGATAAAGCATTTCAATGTTCATTTAGCAAACTGATCCACTCTTTTTTTTTTCTTTTTGGCACAAAGAAATATCACAGATGGACCCCCAAGATCAATCAGAAACTCCTAAGATTCATCAGTCATCACTGGTCCGAGGGCAGCCACAAGACTCAGACAGACAGACAGCATCGCCACAGACTGGAAAAAATAAACAAGGTCCACATTCACCTCACAGTAAAAACCTGCTCACCGACAGGCAAGGGTGGGCAGGAGGGGGCAGTTTCTCTGCTCTAAGGGGGGGAGGTGGGCGTTGGGGCAGGAAGCAGGGGTGCGGAAGGGGTGGACACCATTCATAAATTAGAGGGAAGTGGTCCTTCTGTTTGGATCTGCTTACCTTGTATGAGACAGTGCAAAAACTACAATACCCCCACCACTCATCCATTCAACAGTCTGGAGAAGCTGTGTGGCTTGGGCCTCTCCTCGAGGGTGCCGTGTGTGTGCGAATGTGTGAGTGTGGTGCTTGTAAACATTGTCACCGTCCACGCAGAGACCCAACGTCCGAGTGTCTGAATGGGGCGGGGCGGGCCGGAGCCCCCTCCGCCGCCCTCTGCCCCAGTGACTCCCGCCGGAGACGTAGTGCAAATTTCAGAGACAAGAAGAGGCAGAAGGGAGCGGGGTGGGCAGGAGGCGGGAAGGACACAAAGACCGGGTGGGAGAGGGCGGGGGAAATAAGGCAACAGTTAAAAACGGTCCATTTTATCAAAACCGACACAAGTGCCTCCCACCCCACCCGGGCGCCCGCGTCACGAGAAGGGGCGGAAGTCCCGCTCCTCCACCAGGCTGACCGAGGGGTTCTTCAGCTCCTCCTCCGACCTGGCCATCCTGTAGCCCAGCTGCGCCAGCACCTGCTGACAGGCGTTCTGCGCAAAGGCCACAATGTCGTAGGAGAGGCGGAAGCGCCACTTCTCGGCCGTGGCGGCCGAGTTTCGCACGGTGCCGTATTTGTGCTTGCCCAGGGTGGGGTCGCCCCGCGTGTTGTTCTGGATCCAGCGCGCCACGTGGCTGTCCAAGGGGATGCCCAGGAACCCGTAGATCTCCTCGGTCTTCTTCATGGGGTTCCGCGCCAGGTCCTCGTAGCGCACCAACATGTACTTGCCCTTGAGCCACGCGGGCCGCGTGAGGCCGGTGGACACGGAGTTGGAGAAGTCCTCGCACACCGTGGTCAGCTGCGTCACATCCAGGTTGTAGGGCTTCCTCCCGGTGCCGTACCAGAGCCGCCAGAGCCGGTACGTGTCGCGGAAGGTCTCGCTGCGCGAAGCCAGAATGCCGCGAGGGTCTCGCACCAGCTGGATGACCTTGAGGTTTAACCGGGGGTCTTCGACCAGAGCCCGCAAGTCGTTAACCTCGGGCACCCGCACCGTCTTGATGGCCACGTGGCTGCGCTCGCGACAGGCCTCCGCCGCCACGGTCAGGTTCAGCAGGCCGCACTTGCGCACGCAGTCCCCCTCCTCCAGGACCAGGTCCGCGGGCCCCGGAGGGTCGCACACCGGGCGCGAGCAGAGGACCCTGCTGGCCCCGCGGCGGAAGATCCTGTCGGTGGTGTGGTTGACCGGCGGCGGCTTGATGTAGTTCTCCAGGAAGTAGAGGTCACAGTCATAAAGGCTCCGCAGGAGGTCGCGGCTGGCACCCAGCATGACCCGCCGGTCGGCCGGGCTCTTGCCCTGGGTGAAGCGGGGGATGAGCGTGTTCTGGACGTGGTAGAGCGGCTCAAACAGGTAGAAGACGTCCAGGTGCTGGTTGAAGAGCTGGCCCACGAAGGAGGAGCCGCTGCGCGTGGTGGCCAGGATGAGGATGTGGGTCTTGCGCGACAGGTTGTAGGCGAAGGTGGGGCCCTCCTCGCACAGGCGCTCGGCCAGCCCGGCCTCCGCCAGCCCCGGGCAGGTGTGGAAGGACTTGGCGGTGAAGGTGCGGATGGCGGTGTACTGGATTGCGATGGAGGCCAGGGCAAGGAGGAGGACGGCCTTCCAGGAACATTGCATGGCTGGGCACCTTCATGGGGCTGCTTCTCCACGGCTCGAGGTCTGCGGGCAAAGGCGGCCAGTGGTCAGGTGCCTGACACGGCAGGGCCCTGGCTGGCGCCCTGGGAAGAGCTGTCTCCAGGGGGCCCAGGGAAACACCCGGCTCCCTGCCCAGTGCTCACACGCACACCCAGAAGACCTGAGCAGCTTCTACACTAGACTCCACCATTCTCAGGGGACTCCTGGGAGCTTCAAGGAGCTGAACAAACACTCCTTGCACCCCAGGAGTTAACCTGTGGATGGGTGCACAGGCCTACTGGGCAGGAGCCTCACTGCCCCAACTTCCACACTAAGGGAACGCTGAGGTCCTGCCTCAAGCCATGTCCTGCCCATCACCCCTGCCAGCGTCTTCCACCCCATGACCTGGTGCCCAGTTCCCCAGGGGGTCACCTTTCCTTTGTCCTCTGCCCACCCCTAGGGGAAGAAGAGTCCATGTCAGATGCCTCTTTCTGTCGCCAAGCCCACGTGCAGGAAGGACCCCTGCACTCCATGAGTCGGTGAGCTGCCAGCAGGGCAGGAAAGGTGACAAGTGTGTCAAGTCCCCTCCAACTTGTGGATGTGGGTGACCAGCTTGCTCCAGATGTGGACTTCTGGGGCTCCTGGAGCCTCTAAGAGTCTCTGGAGAAGAGATAAGGATCCAGAAGCCTCCCTTCCCAGGACCCAGGGTTTGCTCCTGGTCACTGGGGGCAAGGGTCCAGGCCACGGGGCCAAAAGACCCAACTGACACAGAGTGGACTGGTCTGCAAAGATCTTAGGGAGACAGGGGGCCTGGCTCCCCCAAGCCAGTCCCAAGGGCCTCCACCCTTAGCCCTTAGCCCTTTCTGGCCACAGAAGGGAGGCAGGGGAGGGACCGCAGGAAAGCAGGGAAAGCAAAGGGCATGCCACGGGCTCAGGACAAGGAGCCAACCTGAGCATCTTGCTAGTGCCCCCAAGGGAGGCCAGCTGGGCCACCAGGCCCTGAGAGAGGGCTGGGGCTGCTCCCAGAGCGAATGCAGGAGGGCTTGACCACTTACCAAAGAGGGGCTGCTCCAAGCTGGGGAGTCCACAGCTGCCAGCGCCTCCAGTTTTAGCCAGTGGTCCCGGCCTGTGACCAGCAGACTACAGGGAGACAGGGAGGGGAGGGGTGCAAAAGTGGGGGTGGGCTCCCAGGGTCCTCTTCCCCACCCCTTCTCTCCCCACAGTGTGCTCCCCAGGCCCAGGCCATGAGGGCCCTGCCTGCTCTCCCAGATCTATCACTGACTCAAGGCCCCAACCAACCAGTGCCATCTCTGATCCCCTAGGTCTGGCCCTCTGAGTCCCGGGCTGCATGCGTCCCACTCCCTTCACCTTCCTCGCCCACCCACCCACGTCCTCCTAACAAGTCACAGTCCCTCTGCTCTCGCCAGGACCCATGGGCAGGGAGGCTGGCACGCCTGCATGCCCAGCTGACCGAGAGCTAGTGCCCCACACGGGCAACAGGGCCCGGAGCACGGCCCAGATTGTTCTGCATTTTAAATTCAACGTGTTCGGTGATTCTCTAGGAGGGGGTCTAGCAGAAGGCTGCAAGGGCAGAGGGGCTCACCCCAGGGCTCCAGGTCGAAAGGGCAGCTCCGAGGGGACAGCTGGGCAGGGGGATCCTTCTTCCAACCACACGGAAGGGAGGAGACCAGCTACCTGAAACTCAAAGCAAAAGTGGACCAGGGAGCATTCCTGACCTTGGCGCTCTGAGCGCTGGAGTGCAAACACCAAGATGGCTGCATTATTTCAGTGAGCATCTATTGCGCACTTCCCTTCGCCGGCACCAGCTCATTTCCCCCTCACAAGAACTTCCTGTGGAAGCCGGCGTCAGCTCACTTCACAGGTGAGAAGGCTGAGGCCCAGAGGAGGAGTAACTGGCCTGGCTCAGCCCCAGTCTGGCAGGTTCCCCAGAGCCCAGGCTCTTTCCCTGTAAGGACATTTGACTTTCTGTTCCTCCAGCTTAGACGTACTTGGCCTTCAACTTGCAGCCAGCCCACTGGTGCCTTGACAAGAGAGGGATCAAGCCTGAGAAGGGGCGGGCAGACGGGTCCGAGACCTGGAGCACGTCCTCTCCCTTTGCTGTCTGCTCTTGTGGCTCTCTTGGCTCCTGGCTGACGGGTGACCTCATGTGCTTTGTGAACACTCTGCCCACACCCCGCTGTTTGGCGCAAGTCCTTTGGGCGCGGAGCGAGTGGATCCTCATTTCCCAAACCTGCAGTGCCGCCTGGCTTATGCGCCCAACTTCTAGCACCGTGTTACTCCCGACAACCCCCTCGAGGAGGTCAGGGTCCTCACTCCCATTGCCCAGATAGAGAAATCGAGTCCTGTTTCAAATACGAAATTCCACTCGTTACCTACAGGAATCGGTACCAGATCACTGAGTGGCAGTAAATAGGGAAAGCCGCACAGTCTAGATTCTTAGGAATTTCTCAATGGGATCAGAGAAAATCACACCCCTGACCACACCCCATCCCGCCCAGCCTTACCCAGTGGCATCAGAGGACGCTGGCCTCCACCCCGGGGGCTGGCCCAGGGACCCAGGGAGATGGCCTCTCTGCTTTAAACCCCGGAAATTGTGGGCCAATTGTGGGCTTGCCAGGTGCCTCAAGACAAATGGGAATGCCTTTAAAGAAACAGACAGGGAATGCCATCAATGCTCGTGCCAGGTAGTATCTGCAGGTTATTTAGGAGTCATTCTTTAGCAGCGATGCCTCCATTTGGAGGCACTTCCTTTGTATTTATTCACAGACATCTATCAGATACCCAGCGTGTGCCAGGCACTGTTCTGGGCACTGTGGGTTACATAGCGTGAAGGAAGGTGAGAACTTCCTGGGCCTTCCTGGTGTCTCTCCCAGGCATACACTCCCAGCCATTAGCTCCTCTCGCTCTCATGCCAACTCTATGAGGCTGACACTGTCACAACCCCATTTTACAGATGAGGACGCTGAGGCTCCCCAATGTCAGATAACTTCTCCAAGTTCACACCCCTAGGAAGGGGTAGAAGCAGGATTCCAGCCCAGGCAATGTGCTATGAAGTCCACGTTCAAATCCTCTTCCCTGATCCACTCCCTGTCTCCACTCATGTCCTACCCCCTTTGGTCCCCAACAAGACTGCAAATAGAACCTTTAAGGAGTCTTCACTTAATTCTAGGATTCCAGTTCCAAAAACAGAATTCACCCCAGGGTTTTCTTTAAAGAGGAGCATCTTAGCATCTTGCCATCTTGCCAGGGAGGGGACCGTTTAAGTCTCTTCCCCCAACTCCTCCTCCTCACCCCCACCCAGAGAAACTTAAGCTGCAGCTTTGCTAACAAATCAGAAGTAACTGGAGCAGCTGGAGGCTCAGATCCCTAAGGCAGTGAGACGCAGCCTCACAGGCTACAGCCTGGGCACCCAGAAGGGGAACGTGTTCGAAGGCCCAGCCACAGGCCATCCCCCCAGCCCCCAGGGAGGGCAAAGCCAGGGCATGGGAATGGGAAGATGGAGGAAGTCAGGCCCTTCTGGAAATGCCCCCTTCTCTCCTGCCAGCCTGGCAGAGCCGGGCCCGGGGCTGGCCAACCTTCCTTGGTATGCTGGAGGCATCTGCCCTGGAAACCAGAGGCCTCAGGGCCAGGTCCTCTTGTTCCCAAGGGAGCCTCAGCCACTACAAAAGACTTCTCAAAGTCCTCCTCCTCCGGGCCTGACTGTGACCCCCAGGGCCCCTCCCTGGGCTTCTAGCAGCCTCTGGCATGGTCTCCCTCCACCTCTGGTTAGTGAAAACCCAAGCAAACCTTGGACACGGGAACCCAGAATGGATCCTTTCTGCTGGAAGGCAGGGGAGTTGGTGGACTCCCACTGCCGGCAGAAAGCTCAGCGTTCACTGACAGCCAACCTCAGCTGAGGGCAGGAGTGGGAGTGGGGACGGCTCTGTCCTGGGGAACTACAATCCAGAGCCGAGAGCTCAAGCCCTGAGCCCGCCTACGGACCTGTCACCCCAGGTGTGCGGGCCTGCGCGATTCACAGCTACCCCGAGCCTCGGTTTCTCCATCCATAACATGCGTGTGACCATAGACACGGTGGTAAGACTTGAAGGACTGAGAGCATTTAAAGGAACAGACAGGGAATGCCATCAATGCTCCTGCCAGGTAGTATCTGCAGGTTATTTAGGAGTCATTCTTTAGCAGCGATGCCTCCATTTGGAGGCACTTCCTACAGGTGTGACACAGCTCCGGCACCAGCCCCGCTGCTCCCAGCTCAGCCACTTACTGGCGGTGGGACCTTGGCCAGATTGCTCAATCTTTCTGGGCCTCTGTTTTCTCTCCTGCAGAATGGGGACAATTACAACAAGCTGTTGTGAGGACTAATTACTTATAGCTAATACAGTGCCCTGCATAGGGTAAGCACTCAATAAATGTCAGTAATGTCATCATTCAATGTCTGGGTTGCTTTTTTTTTTACAGGAAGTCCCTCAGAACAAACCACACTGCAGCCCGCCGGGTCCCACTCTGCCCCTTCTCCCTGCGGGGGACTTTCCCCAGCAGAGCCACCCCAGTGGCCTCCCTGCTGCCCTCTAGCGGCCACGTCCCGCAGCGCAGCCACCGAGCCCGGCGCCGCGGTGTTCGGAATTCGGGGGCTGCGGCTGCGGACGCGGGCGAGGACACAGCCGGCGGGAGGTGACGGCGCAGGACGCGGCGAGGTGTGAGGGCGGCACGCCCACCCCGGCGGCGGCCTCTGTTCCGCGCACCCCCACTTCCAGCAACAGGCAGCCGCGCCTCCCCCCGGGGCCCCTTCCTCTCTGCTGCGCTCTGGCACGGAAGCAGCACGGAACTGAATGTCACAGGCAGGAACAGCCCACGGCCTCTGCCGGTCCCAGGCTGGGTGACCTTGGACTCACCCTCAGCCTCTCTGTGCCTCGGTTATTCCGCAGATCCAGTGAGCGGAGGGCCTCGCAGCTCTGACCACTGGGGTTTTCTAATCCCAGGAAGGCCCCATACTCCATCCTGATGGTCAATCCGGGCCACCCTCGCGGCAGACACGGGGACTCTCCACTGGGAGTGGGAAAAACCCGGGCATCTTCCAGGAAGATACGAGGGCTGGCATCACTGTCCCCAACTCAGCCTGATCTGTAGCTGCCCCAAACCCAGGGCTCTGCCCTCTGCCGAGTTAGGCCCCTGCCTCCTGCTACATAGAAATCCCAGAACCCCAGAGCTGGAGCTTCTCCGCTTTTATGGACCACAGGCCCCTTAGAACCACAGTCCCTCTCCCAGAAAATTCCATCTGTGCCCACAATTTTCCACATGCAATTTAGAAGTTTCCTGGACTTCCAATAGCCCACACGTGGGCACCCCTTCCCTTCCCTAGAGGCTTAACCCCTCCACCATTAGCTTAACCACCACCCTGGGATTTTCTTTTCAACTGACTATATCAGAGAAGGCTCCACTGACATGTATATGCTGACATGGAACAATTACTCAAGATATATTATTAAGTTAAAAAAAAAAAACCCTAGGGGCCAGGTGCATGGCTCATGCCTGCAATCCTAGCACTTTGGGAGGCTGAGACAGGAGGATTGCTTGAGCCCAGGAATTCAAGACCAGCCTGGAAATATAGCAAGACCCCATCTCTACAAAAAATTAAAAATTAGCTACATGTGGTAGGGCTCACATGTAATCCTAGCTATTCGGGAGGCTGAGGCAAGACAATCACTTCAGCCCAGGAGTTTGAGGCTGCAGTGAGCTGTGATGATGCTTGCTGCTCTCTAGCCTGGGCAACAGAAAGAAAGACCTTGTCTCCAGGGGAAAAAAAATACTAGGGCCAGGAATGTCACCATTTCTGTTTTTAAAAGAGGATGTACATATATATTTGTATACAGGCACAACCAACCACTGCAAGAGCGTGCACTGAACTGGTAACTGTAAGTGGCCCAGAGGGAAGGGGAGCTCAGGAAACCAGGTGGGAGGACGACACAGTTTACGCTGGGCTTTTTTATTCAGTTGAGTTTAACTTTTGGGGACAGAGTGAAGCCACTCCAGGTAGGAACTGGAGAGGTGCTGGATGACAGGGTGGGGCTCTGAACTGGCACCGCACTGTGCCTTCCGTCCGGTCCCCAGGGCACTGCCAGCCGGCTCTCCCTCCCCCATTTCTAAGGCTCCAGGGTAGAAGTCACTGCCTTTCCACCAGCAGTGGGCTCTCTGCGCAGGTGGGCCACTAAGGACAGCAGCCCGCAGAGGCTGCTGAGACGGGGCGGGAGCTAAGAAGAGCCAGGCTTCAAAGGGGGCCTGGGGCTGTGTGAGCAGGTGAGGCCCAAGCTGGGGAAATGACTCCCCTCCCAGCCTTTCTCCCTAAAAAATTCTGTGAAGCCCTGGAAGATGAGGAAGAAAAGCAGAGGAGAAAGGAAAAAAAAAAACAAAAAAACAGAGTATCATATTTCTGCCCAGAATCAAGCCAGGATGGAGGGACCCTAAGGCTCTGTGGTCCCAAGAACTGGAGCAAGGAGCAAGGGAACTGGACAGGCAGAGAGGAGCTGGCAAACAGGCCTCTAGGATGGAGACTGCAGAGAGGAAATGCTTAATCCCTGGCTCCGGCGTAGCCAGCACTCATCCACCATCAACGTTTGTTTAGTTAAGGCTAAAACACATAAAACAGCAAGGTGTTTTTCTTCCTAAGGAAAATGAGGTGATGAAAATGAGGCAAGGGGAAAACAAGAGTATAAAAGTCTGAAAGAACCAGAGGCCAGATCAGTGTACAAGAGTCAAGCCATATGGGGGCTACCCATATGGGTCAGAGCTCCCTGGCAGCCAAGGGGAAAAAGGAAATATTTCATTCACATGTTTCACAGGACCCATGAGATAAAGATTATAGCATCTGCTCAAGAGATGTCTAGCTATTCCTGACACTGAATCTAGTACAAGATTTTTTTGAGGGGTCTCCTTCAGAGCCCTGCGTGTGTACCACCATGAGCCACGTCCTCATGACGTTGTACCTAATAAACTCAAAGACAAGGTTCACAGGACTGTGTCCTAAAGCATCCTTCAGTGTGGGCAGTATGGCAACATACAATCCAGCCAGCGCCACCATCCAGGGGTGTGATCTGATGGGGTCTGGACTCAGCTCTGTGGTCTGGGGAGCTCAGGGGAGACTGCAGGCACCGGTGCCTCTTTCTGGGGCCATGCCCCCCTCAACCTGAAACACTGCAAGGTCTATGGAGCTTCTCCCCAGAACCCGCACCAACACACACGACGTCTGTGTGCCGTTGCTAGAGTCCCTGGGCCCTGTGGCCCATCCACAGACCCCACAGGCAGAGCCCACATACTCTGGGCACTCTAGGGGGGTCACATCCTCACAGTCATGGTTTCCAGGACAAGCACCCAGGGAGTGACTGGTCCACTGACCGTTCACCGTCACGAGAGCTACCTGGCTGCCTTATGAGCCCCCTGACTCCAGAGCAGACCAGTCCTATGTCCACATGTGACACCCGTGGGCATTTCAAGCCTCCATGAGAAGTCCCCCACCTGCATTCGGGGAGCCTTGGGGAGAGACAGGCTGGGGTGTGAACGCCACTGTCTTGCTCTGTGGCTATGAGCCCCTAAGCAAGGCAGGTGACCTCTGCAGGTCTGTTTGTCCTCACATACGAAATGGGAAGAACGATCACAGGCTCTTCAAAAGATTTGGGTTGTGACACAAAGCCAGTGGATGCCCACAGCTTAACACAGTGCTGGGCCCAGAGCCAGTGCTCACTGAATAAGAACCGTGGGCATGATTTTTAGGGGTACTCTAACCCACTTTTAACTTTTTTAAAAAGTTAAGGAGGCAATGCTGGCTGGGTTTAAAAAGTTAAAACAGATGCCACATCCTCTTCCACTGGAGCGCTAACAGCCTGTGTGGCTGGGGACCCTCACTGTCCCGGCTGCAGAAGCCTCACCGAGGTAAGGAGGGCAGCTGGCAGTCTGGCCCCGCGCCCAGCAGGCGGGCCATGGCCGGGGGCGGGGGCTGGGGGAGGGGGGTCCCCAGCCAACCTAAGAGGAAAGTTTTCCCTGCAGTGGGGAGAGTGACTGACCTCCTGGCCATGGCACAAGGCCCCAGTGTGCCCGGCTCCTGGGGGAGGGATGAGTCAGAAGGCCCCGGTTGCCTGTCTCAGGCCGGTCCTACCATAGCCTGGCCTGCGGGAGTGTCCCGACACTGGGCGGAAAAGCCCCGGTTTCCTGCCACCCCCCCAGCAGCCAGGGCCAGAGTCGAAGAGTACTAAGGCCCCACCTCCTGGACACGGGGCTGCAGCCCATCCTCCCTGCTTCAGCGATGGGAAAACATCAACAGGCCTGGAGCACAGGCAGCTGCTGCCGGCCCGGCAGGAGGAGGGGGCCTTCTGTCCTGGATCCCGGAGTCTCTGGTCTCGGCCATCTGCACCTAAGGCCCAGCTGGTCCCGTGGGGACGAGAGCTGGGGTGCAGAATGGATGGGACCCTGAGACTCACCTGAGCCTTGAGGCTATAACATGGGATGGAGGGGGCTGCAGGAGACCACAGAGCTGGCTCCCATCAGGGGACACGTGACACAAGCAGGTACCATGGCCACCTCTCATGGACGAGGCACACTGAGGCTCAGGCGAGTGGGGGAAGCTGTCCAGCATGTGCAGCCAGTCCATGGTGCGGTGAGGACCCAAACTAGGCTGAGGACCCCCAAGCCCTGGCCCTAACTGCAAAGCTTACACCCTCAGGCTGCGCCCGAGAGCAAGAGCGTCAGCCAGCACTGGGACGCCAGAGAAGAGGGTCGAGGAGTGGCAGGGCCTAGGTGGCCACCAGGGGCCAGGACACACTGGTTCCAATCCTGACCTCAACACCCACCCCTGACCCAGACCTTGGCTCATCCATTACTACTGACCATCTCTGAGGACTGGGTCCCTGGGCTCAGCTGGCGGGATGTGGGGACAGCCTGGGGCCCTTTCTGGCTCACACCAATGGGTCTGTGCCATCTCACCAATTCCCAGGGCGTTCTCCCTCCCTGCTGAATGACAATAAGGAACATTATCACGAATGGGGGTGGACAAGGGACTGCTGCACCTGATTGGCGGGAGCCAAAATACACTGTGCTCCCCACGCAGAGGCCGGGTCCGGGGTGGAAAGCAGGTGGAGGTTCCGTGGTTTTATAACAAGGAGCCCAGGAATGCCCATGTCCTATGCAGCCAAGAAGACACCCAAGAATGGCTTTATTACCACATAGCCTGAAATAGTCTGGAATGGGGCATGGGGTTTGGGCTCAAGCCCAGATGGTGCCTCCCTGCTCCCTAAGCCCAGAGCTTATCGCCAGCCCACAGCTGGTGCCAAGGATGCCCCTGTGCCAGGACGCCAGCAAGGCCCACCCCGCCGCCTCTCCGGCTCCTGGGAGAGACACACTAGGAAGAGCCCCACTCCACCCACGGGGTGCACGGCCAGTCAGAGAAGCGTCCCTGCCCAGCACCGACAGGGCCTATACAGGGAGACTGATGGCAGCTGCTCACCCAGAGCCCAGCTCCTCGGCATGAACCTCTCACGCATCACCATGTTTGATCCTCTCCACGAGCCTGGGGGGAAGGACTACAGCTGTATCCATGGCACAGGTGAGGGACCCAGGCTCGGAGAGGCTGAAGGACTTGCTCACCAGCTCAGAAGTGACAGGGTAGAGAACCCAATTCAGGCTCCGGGGTCACGTGGGGGGTGTATACCCAAGTGAGGGCCTCGCCTCTCCAAAGCATTCCCTGGAGGCTTCCCTTCCCTCCCCACTCGGACCTCCTAGAATGTCTGAGCCACCCCATTCTGCTCCCCTCAGCTTTACGTACACCTTAAAGGTTAGGAGCGGTGTAACGGGTGACACCCAGACCTTGAGCCCTGGCCAGCCCTACCCTCCCTGAGCCCCAGGTACCTAGGTGAGAGGAGGCCACCCCCATCCCAGGGCAGGTGAGGGGCTGAAACGAGACGGTGCACATAAATCTCTCAGTAGAGTGACTGCTACGTAGTCATCTCTCCATCAACGGCGCCTTCAGCGCGTCGGCACCAGGCTGGGCTGTCCGTGGTCCTCATCTGCCCTGCAGAATCCGTGACGTCTCAGGCCCTCCCTCCAGCTCTCTCCTGTCCCTCCTCCCCCAGTGCCCAGCGTGGGGCCCTCGGCACACTGCAGGGACTCAGTGGGTCCTAAACAACTCACGGACACCGGCAGACACTCTGGGGAAGGGAAGGGACCGTGCCTTCTTCCCATCCCTGAGAAGGAGACAGCATTCCCAGCAACTCCAGCCCACAGCCTTCCAGCTCTAATCAAGGAGCAAACACAGGCCGGGCGTGGTGGCTCACGCCTGTAATCCTAGCACTTTGGGAGGCCGAGGCGGGCGGATTGCTCAAGGTCAGGAGTTCGAAACCAGCCTGAGCGAGACTCCGTCTCTACCAAAAATAGAAATAAATTAATTGACCAACTAAAAAAAATATATATCTATACAAAAAAAAAAAAAAATTAGCCGGGCATGGTGGCGCATGCCTGTAGTCCCAGTTACTCGGGAGGCTGAGGCAGTAGGATCGCTGA